TAGAGGAAAAAGTTCATGGTCCAGAGGGCAGCGCCAAAAACATCGCTGACAAAGGGCATACCAATAGGGCCTACAGAGCTCATTTCACGCAGGACATAGGGGAGGCCCGTCTTTAAGGCGATGCCGACTTGCTTCTCCCAGTACTTGAACTGGACATTAGTGGTGTCGAGATCCATTAGTTCATCAAGGGTAAGAGGAGTGGGTGTAACTCCAATGACTGCAGATTGTTAGTATGGCTGGTGGCTAGATGGGGCTCATGTTGACATACAATAGTAGTAGTCGTGCTGGTTCCAGGTAGCGAGAAAGTTGTCGCCGTTCCTGCCTTCCATGATGCCATCGTCGACCAGCTGGGCAATCTCAAAGGTGGTGCCAATGGTGGAGGCAGTTGCAGGAGCTTCGAAAAAGGACGAAGGGAGGTTAGCATTTTTGAGCACTCGCTCGTAGACAACTTCACAGCGGTCGAGCCATTGCGTCGTGTATGTGCTTCCACTCCATGCGCCAGCGCGGAACATGTTCTGCAGCCACAGGTCGGGCTCGTTGCCAACCTCGAACGAATACAACTTGACATTTTTCATACCGTCAATGGCGGCCTTTGCCATGTCGGTGATGCGGGTCTCCCAGTCGCTCTCCATGTAAGCCATATTGAGGCCGAAGGTGACGGGGGTATCCTTGGGGAACCGGTCCAGGGCAGTGAAATAGTTGGGACCAATAATCATCGCGTCAGCAGCCTTGGTGCCCTGTGCTTGTGAGTTCTTGTTGGCGTTCCATGCGAAGCGTTGGTTGTCTGCCTCGAAAAGCATGTAATCCTGCGTGTTTCCTCCGAGGCGGATGTGAGGGGGAGCGCCGGAGTAGTCTGCGAGGTTCTGTAGGAGTTTGATGGAAAACTGGTTAATCTGGTCGCCGCCAGTAAAGGAAAACAGGTTGGAGGGCTCGATGCCAAAGCCGGCAAACGACGGGTTGATGTAGTCGGAGGCATCTCTGGGGGCCTTTGTGTTTGGCGATATGGATAGGGACTGGGCTCTGGCGGCGGGGAGCGAGAGGATGGCCACTGCAAGGGCGGTGGCTGTAGATCTTGTAGAAAACATGGTCACAGCGTGGGACCAAGGGCCTCAATGGCAGCCAACGAGCGGACGGTGGTCGTAGACGAAGGGACAAGCGCGCAAAAACGAAAGACAGCAGCAGGGGAGACTGGGGCCAAAGGGTAGATGTAAGTGTGTCGAGGTTAAAGTGCGGGCGGGAAGGAGGAGGCAGGAGGCATGCAAGACAGAAGCGGACAGGCAGGCGGGCGGGAGGCCGGGGGTGGGGGGGGCGGACGAGCAGGCTTATCAGAGCAAGAGGGACTATGTTTCGATGTAAGTAGGTAAGCGGTTGGGAGGGCTGTGAAGGCAATTGATTGCACTTGACATGCGTCACCCCCAAACTGGAACCCGCCGCGACGCCGGGCCTAAGCCAGAGAGTACCGCCTTTGACGAGCATGACATCACGACACGCCCTCTTTGACGCCGGCCGAAACAGCAGCAGAGGAGGGAGACCCAGTGCGAGACGCCGGCCAAGTGGGCCCCGAGTAGTCGTGTTGCGCGTTGTGCTGGGGAAGAGAAGAAGAATCCGCGTCAGCTCTGGGCGACATAGTGGACCAGAGACCAGACTGCGACCACGCCCGCCTTGGCCATGCCTCGGATCTGCAGAGCCGCCAATCTGACGCGCCATCTGCCCTGATCCGCCCGCTGCTTGGTCGTCATGGCGTGCAGCCAGCCAGCTTGATGTGAGTTCCATGTCTGCCCCGGCGTGGGCTATGCGAGCATGTGTGCAGTAGAGTTTTTTTTTTCGTCCTGTCTTGTTTCCAGACTGCCCCCATTCGTCATGGAGCGCGCGCTGCCTTGGTTGTGTTTCCCAAGCTGGTGGGAAAGGCTTGATTTTATTGCCTAGCCCTGTTCCTGCTCATGCACCACTCGCTCCTTCCGACTGCAGTTACCCCCCACTTTCCACGCTGCGCTTTGCACTTTCCGCTTTAGCCACCAGCTACCAGCTACCAGCTACCAGCCACCAGCCACCTGCTTCTGGTAAGTCCTCTCTTTTCATCATAACCGCTTGATATCATCACCAACATCTTCTTCTGTTATCCACATACGAACTCTACTTACACCTCGTACCCGTATATCCAAGACCCCGGACGAACAATCCCTCCAATGCCTTGCTCCAGTCCTTCGTCCGAGTACGCGCTGCTTCACCAGGCCCACTAGTGCCCTTCTCCTGTCCAACCATTCAGCCGTCCAGTCGCGTATGTGGCTGCCTCTGTTCCCTCTGCTGCTCCTAGCTCCCTGCACCCTATTATAGTAACACCCCGAGTCGTGCTACAACCGCCAGAGTCGGATGCTGCGGAAGCCTCTGGCACAGACGTTTCAACTTTAGCCACCCGCAGACCCCACTATCGTTCTCACTCGCTTATACCAAATCTAGGCCCAGGTCGAGAGCCCTGATGCCTTCGCCATGATGCGCTTCCTTATTGCTCGCTCAAATAAACGTTGTGCGGCGAAAGTTAAAATTGCGCGAGCCTGAAGCATGGGAAAAGCTTGTTTCTGACGCATCTAGTAATCCGCTTGCTGCTCAAAGTTTAAATAGCAACTCTCCAATATATTGAATATTGCATCCTTTTCTCCTGGCTATTACGATATATGGATTGAAATAAAGGAATACACAGAATCCGGGGGTTTCTCACATGGTGATTTGCCCGTGTTTTATACACACGCACACTGCCTGTCTTTTCTTCCACCCAAATATTTACTTACTCCCACAGCCGAGTCCTCGCTCTCACCCCTTGCCTTGGTAGCCGAGACACAAGCCTTGCTACAACTTCCCCTTGAGCAAATTAGCGATCATCTCGCGTCCCGTAATCACTGTCGTGCGCCACAAGGTCGGGAAATCCAAGGTACTCGTAAAAGCTATCAACAGAAACCAAAAAAGTCAGCCACAATTTTCTCAAAAAAGTTTATTCTGCCTTTGCCCAGTCCTTGGAAATAGGGCGAAAGGAAGGAAAGGGGTGAGGAAGGCATGGTAGCCAGGGAAGAAACTTACTATCAGCATATCCGAATCCCAACATGGGCGGAATCCATCCTCTCGCATACTCGAGCGCAAAGCACTCTCCATCCATCTTGTACTGCTTAACCTCGCCGCGACGAAGATGATGCACGCTACCCTGAGGATACCTATTCCCCATCATTCGTCAGCAAAACCATTCATACTAACAACACTCCCAAAAAAACCGCTCCTTCCTCCCATGCAAGGAAGGCAACAACAACAAAAAACAACAGAAAACCAAACTCACCTCTCCGCCTCATAAACCCCCTTACCCGGCGCATACGCCAACTGCTCCCCCTTGAGAATATGAAAATAATCATCCGCAGTATGGCGACCCGTATGCCCCTCAGTCCCGACAGGCGTCCCAAACACAATCAGATACTCCGTCACACTCGCATGTATAATATACATAGCCCCCATTGCGCCCCCCGCATTATTAAACACCCACTCCTCATCGAGATTAATGTGCTGCGGGTGCGACGCGGACAGCGAGTCGACAATGTAGGATACGACGGCGGCGGTGTCGTTGCCGTGGCGCTCAATGGCCGAGAGACTGAGGGCGTGCAGCGCAGACGGAGTGAAGATGTAGAAGGAGTCGAGACGCGACTCGAGGGTGTAGAAGAGCGTGGTTAGGGCGCCCAGGACAAGCGAAAGCGTGAGTAGGAGGTGCATTGTTCAACGCGCGTTTACGCGGAACGCGAAACGCGAAACAATTAGAAGAAAAGAGTAAGAAAAGGGATTATGATGGAACAAAAAAAGAGAGTAGATTATCGCATTCCGCTCTTTCTACTTTGTTGTAAAAAAAAAAAAGTTGTTGTATGGGAGTATTCATACATAAAGTAAACGGTGCACGTACCCCCGGGCATACAAGACGAGTGAGAAACATGTGTCCGGATTGAGGCGCCCAAAGCCCGGAACCCCGGAATGCTCCACTAGCACAATGGCCTGTTTTTCCTCTCTTGCAAATCAAACCACATCCCCCCCGGTCTTCCCGTCTTCCGAGAGAGAGAGAGAGACAGAGAGAGGGCCGAACCCCCCTTTAATCGGGGCTTCAATTCGCTAGTAAATCTACTTTTACTAAAATACGTCCCGTATACACGTCTTTCTCATTGGACAAACACATTACCTAAGTCAAATTTAAAGGGGGGGAGGGGGGGCAGTGGAATACGATATACGGGCAATTCAAAAGTACTCAAGAGAAGAAAGAAAAAAAAGGGGGTATATATATTATCGCAAACTTGAAAACTATATAACTGCTTTACTCGCAAAAAAAAAGAAAGAAAAAAGAGGGTGCAGAAATATGTTGAAAGGAAAGCAGAGATAAACAAGCAAATAAACATACAACTCCCTTGAGCCTAACAAAATAAAACAGAAAACAAAAATGCTTTATCCGCTTGGTCATGTACTTACCCATAATATCCCTCCCAACCCGCAATCATTAACATTATACTCCGAAGATAGTTAAACCCCCCCCCCCCCCCCCCCCCCCAA